GGGCCCCAGGCTGCCTGCAGTCCTAGGGGCTTGTCTCTGCTAGTGCCCCCCCACCCAGGGATTTTCTCCAGGCTGCAGGTGGCTCCCAGATGTCCAGCCTTGCAACCCTACATGCAAAGTCCCAGAGTTGTTGGCCTAACTCTCAGGGTTACCCGGACCTCCCACCTGTGTGACCCTTCACTGACCTTACACCCCAGATCTCCTGCGCCAGCCCAGGAGGAAATGGGAGACACGGCCTTGCTGGCCTTGGCTAGGCCTGGTTGACAGCCCCGGGGTGGCCTCTCAGTGCCCAGTGCAGGCCCTGGCCTGGGCAGCTGGGCCCTGGGGACTCTCTCTGTCTCTGTCTCTCTAGGCCGCCTGGGCCACTTCTCCCGAGGCTTGGCTGACGTGGAGGTGCAGCAGGGGGACGCTGCCACACTTTCCTGTACCCTCACCAGGGACCTGGGGCCTGGCACCTGGCTTAAGGATGGCATCAAGGTACCATCACCGTCCACCTTCTCTTTACCAGGGAGGGGACAGGGCCAGACCAGGGAAGCGGTGCGGCTGGATCCCGCCGGTAGGAAGTTAAACAGCCAAGAATGTGCAGTGCATTTAAGACAGAATCAGTCTCGTTCCCGTCCCAAATGCCTCCCCTACACACTCACCCACCGAACTCCACCCATCCTCCGAGGCCTTGGGATGCCAAGCAGATGGGATCTCTGGTCGCTGGGCAGCCGCGCCCTGCTCCGTGGCAGCTGTCGGGTCAGCAGGGTTCTAGCACAGTCCCCAGAGCTCTGATGTTGGCATCAGCCAGCTCTGTCTTCAGATCCCAGTGCTGCTGCTACGGTTACGCGAGCTCACCTATAAAACGAGACTAATAATAGAGCCTATTTTACAAGGTTGCTGTGACGGTTAAAGGAGCCACCAAGCAAGGGATCTTGTGCCCATGCCTGGCGTCCGGGGAGTGTTCAGGCCCTGCGGCTGCAGTAAAGAGCCCAGGTCACCTGCAGGGCAGGGGTGGGAGTGACCGGTTCCTGCTGTGGCCCCTGTCTCCAGCTCACTGGCCAGGATGGAGTCATCTTGGAGCAAGACGGCCTCACGCACAGACTCCTCATTGACCGCGTGCAGGGGACCCACGCTGGGAAGTACATGTTTGTAGCCGGTGACCAGCAGAGTGAAGCCACCCTGACCGTCCGGGGTGAGGCCCAGCACCACCCTTCCCTGACCCACAATCTGCACCAAGCAGTCGTCTCCTCTTCCCCACACTGAGTCTGGGCTGTAGCCAGTGGCTCACCCACCCTGCATAGGGGAAGATCCTGAAACAGCCAACCCACACCTCCCTATTCGAGCATCTTCTCTCTGCCCTTGTTGGGAAGTCCTTGGTGAGGTCTAACCCTGGTGCCTCCTGCTGCTGAGGTCCTGTACCCTCGTTAGTGCTCAGGTGCTCGGGAGCTGGGGTAGGGGGCTCTGTACCTTCCCTGGACCCTCTCTCTGCTCCCCTGGAGCCCCTGGCCCTGATTGTCACTGACCTCCTTGTCCCCCCACCCCCGTTTCCTCTCCAGATCCCCCCACCATCGCTCCAGATGTGATGGAGAAGCTGAGGGAGCCCCTGGTGGTCAAGGCCGGGAAGCCGGTGACCATGAAGGTCCCTTTCCAGAGCCGCCTCCCCGTGCAGGCGGAATGGAGGAAGGACGGGGCCGAGGTGGGGGGCAGCGGCCGCAAGGGCGCCCAGGTGGCCCTGGGGGACGACTACACGCGCCTGTGCCTCCCGAGCGCGAGCAGGAAGGACGCCGGCCAGTACAGCGTGACGCTGCGGAGCCACGGAGGCTGCGCGCAGGCCCAGCTCAGCCTGCAAGTCCTAGGTGCAGCCCCAGCCCATCCCCGAGACGAGGCTTGGTGGGCCGGGGCTGGGGGCAGGGCCCGGGGTGGCCTCTGCCGGCTTGGACCCTCACCTGCACGCTGTACAGAAGCCCACCCGCCCCTACCTGCCCTGTGTCCCCTGCATAGATGAAGTAAGAGGCATCTGGGGTGAACGAAGTGCTGGAGCCCTGTGGAGTGTGGGGGTTGGGGGCTGGTCCCGCTGCTCGGAGCACTAAGGGATGCAGCAAGATTTGACCGCCTGTGTCCCAGGCGTTAAGCAGCTGTGGGCTCCGGCTGGTGGGTCCACAGCACATCCCTGGGGGGTGGGGGTGTCTCAGGAGCCATGGCCTCCCCCCAACCCCGGCAGGGTTCGGGCCCTCTGTACAGCCTGGCCCATTGCAGGTGCATCCGCTGGTGAGGTGGGGAGAGCAGCCCCGTGCCCTGTGGCTGCCCTGACTCCTTCTCTCCCTGCCCCTCTTGGTGGGTCCCAGACAAGCCTCAGCCCCCGCTGGGGCCCCTGGAGGTACAAGATCTGCGTGGGGCTGGGGTCTGCCTGCGCTGGCGGCCTCCACGGGATGACGGGGGCCGGGCCGTGGAGCACTACGTGGTGGAGAGGCGCCAGGCCGGCAGGAGCACCTGGCTGAAGGTGGGGGAGCCCCCCGCAGACAGCACCACCTTCACGGACAACGACGTGGAGCAGGGCCGGAAGTATGCCTTCCGCGTGCGGGCCGTGACCTCCGAGGGGGCCAGCGAGGCCCTGGAATCCGAGGAGCTGCTGGTGGCGCCCGAGGGTGAGGGGAAAGCCTGCGGCCGGGGTAGGGGACACACTCCTGGGCTCCAGCAGTGCTGCCCCCAGGGCAGAGGGACGCCGGCTCATGCCCGAGTCCTGTGCAGATGGCAGCCGGCAGCGGGACGGGGAGGTGAGAGTTACGGGGTCTCTGCAGTGAGGGTTGGACCCAGGTGGAGACCAGGCTCTCCCTGCAGCGCAGGCCACCTCAGAGGGCGCAGGGCTGGCTCCGTCCCCTGACTGACGCGCACCCTCCCCGCCCCAGCCCTCCCCGGGCCCCCTTCTAGCCCAACCATCCAGGCGGCCTCCAGCCGGGGCATCACCCTGACCTGGACAGCACCCCGGGGCCCAGGCAGTGCCCACATCCTGGGCTACCTGATCGAGAAAGCGCAAGGAAGGGGAAGCAAACACCCTTGGACGGGTGTGAACGAGAATGCCCCGTGGCCCGGGTGAGCAGCGGGGTGGGGCCCCCTCCCCCTTCTCTCCACCCGCACCCCTCCCCCACACGTGCCAGCCCCCATAGGCAATGCCGCAGGAGACAGTTTCAACTGTCTTCATCGGGCTGCAGGGGTAGCCACTGGCACCTAGTCTGGCAAGGCCAAGGCTACGGCACAGACGGCCCCCCCACCCCACCCCCCATGACCCCAAAGAATGATCCAGCAAGAAAAAAAGTGAGAATGCTGAGGTTCAGAATGCTGGCCTTGACCTTGGCTGGCTCGGCCTTGTCCTCTCTGGAGCTCAGTGTGTTCATCCGTAAAGTGGAGGCAAGTGTTTCCTGCCGCACTGTTTCCTGAGGTCAGAAAGAACTTGGACAAACCCGAGGCGGGGTGGCCTCCCCCCGCCAGGGGCCCTCTGGGTCTCTGAGCTCTGCCTGCGGGGAGGAGGTACAGGCCTGGAACAGGTTGTCAGCGCCTCGCCTCTGCAGAGGGAGGTGAGCTACGGACGGGCGCCGTCCGTGGTCCCTGTTTGGTGATTCTGCCTCACTCACGTACAGCGCCAGCTCTGCAAGGACACCAGGAAGACCATGGCAGGGGCCAGAGATCTGGGGCCTGACGCCCGGAGCTCGGCTCCCTCACCTTGGGGAGGACTGAGGGACTCCTGGCTGGGGGGGGGGGGTCGGGGGGAGGGGCTGCGACCCCAGCTGGGCCTTCTCAGGAGTGCAGAGGTGCCGAGCTGTCCCCCACAGCCTGCTGGGACTGACGTGGGCCGGGCTGTTCACAGAGAGGAAGTGGACGGTGGAGGACCTGCGGCAGGGCTGTCAGTACGAGTTCCGCATCATGGCGGTGGCTCCCGTGGGCCCCGGGGAGCCTGGGCCCCCCTCGGAGGCTGTCTTCGCTCGGGACCCCATGAGTAAGTGGAGTGGGACGGGGCTGGAGGTGATGGGTCAGAGAAGCAGTCGGAGAGGCGGGGCAGCACAGGTCAGAAGTCGACATGCCGCGGCCCAGAGGCCAGCTGTGGGGCTGGGAGACCCCAAGACAGCAGCAGTCCCAGTGCCCAGTGGCTCCGGGCAGCTCAGGCCCCTGGCTGGCCCACCTGGCCCTGTCTTCCCATCCTCTCTCCCCCGTGGGAGTCATCCTCCCTCAGCGGAGGCTGGCAGGGGAACCTCCTGGGTGACTCTCTGCCCAGGAGCCCTGCTCACCTGCTGGGTGTGCCTGGAACTGGGTGAGCCCAGGCAGGCGTCAGTCTCCCAGCCTGCGATGGCACTGCCCCACCCGTGGTCTCTGGACATCAGCAAGGCGGCGGTAGGAATGGCAAAAAAAGTTCTGTGACCCAAGATGCGCACGACCCGAGCCCTTGAGCTGTCTGAGTTCGATGCCAATCCAAATTGGAAACTTGGTGGGGTGGGGAGGGGGGAGGAAGGAGGGACTTCCATCTTCCACCCACTGGTTCACTCCCCGGATGCCTGCCAACAGCCAGGGCTGGGCCAAGCCAAAGCCAGAGCTTCTTCCGGCTCTCCCGTGTGGGTGGCATGGATCCAAGCGCTTGGGCCATTTTCCATTGCCTTCCCAGGCACATTAGCAGGAGCTGGATCCAAAGTGGAGCAGCCGGGACTCGAGCCAGTGCTCATGTGGGACGCTGGCCTTGTAGGCAGAGCATTGACCTGCTATGCCACAGCGCCGGCCCTGACCCCTGGACTTCAAACTTCCTGCATATTTAGAAACACCTAGGAGTTCTTGAAACTCCTGATGCTGGGGCGGGTGTTGGGACAGAGGTTGTCACCACTTGGGGCACCCACGCCCGTATCCGAGTGCCTGGTTGGAGTACCAGCTCTGGTCCCAGTTCCAGCCTCCTGTTAATGCCGACTCTGGGGGGAAACAGGTGATGGCTCAAGTGTTCGGGCCACCGACATGGGAGACCCGGATGGAGTTCCTGCCTATTTGCTGGGGCCTGACCCATCCCTGGCTGTTGCAGGCATTTGGGGAGTGAGCCAATGGATGGAAAATCTCTGTCTCTCTCTCTCTCTCTGCCTTTCTAATAAAAAAAATAATAATAAAAATAGGGATCCCTAGGCTGCATCTGAGCGACAAAATCAGGTCTCGGCCTGGATTTCAAGCCCCCCAGGTGATCCCAGTGAGCAGTGGGGCCTGCGGCCTTTCTCTCTCAGGTCCTCTGCTCCTCCCAACCCCAGCCCTCCGTGGGCAGGGGCTGTTGGCCTCGTCCCACTCGCCAGGTGGGGAACAAGAAGCCTGCGCTGAGTGCCCGAAAGCAGAGCGTGCGCTAGGAGCTCAGGGTTCAGGACGCAAGGACGGAGCCCGGCAGGGCATCAGTCACGGGGCTGACAGTCGGGGGAAGGAGCCGGAAGGCTGGCGAGAGAGGAGTGAGGAGGAGGGCCTCCCGGGGGAGGCGGCCTGGGCTCTGCGTGTGACCCAGAGAGGAGGAATTTGGTGCCCGTGGCTTGTGACACCCAGAGGCAGATGAGAGAGAAAGTTCCGCTCCCCACGCCGAGAGCCCTCCCCAGTGGTGGTGCCATTGCTGACGCTCCCCGCCCCCTACCCCGCTGTGCCCGCCAGGACCGCCGGGGCCCGTGCGGGATCTCCGTGTCACGGACACATCGAATACCAGCATCACCCTGAGCTGGACCGGGCCCGACACCCAGGACGGGGATGAGGCCCAGGGCTACGTGGTGGAGCTGTGTGACTCAGACAGTGTCCAGTGGAGCCCGTGCCACACGGGGACCGTGCCAGCCACCACCTTCACCGCCAAGGGGCTGCGGCCCCAAGAGGGCTACTTCGTGCGAGTGACAGCCGTCAACGCCGGGGGCCGCAGCCAGCCCGTGGCCCTGGCCACGCTGGTGCACGCCAAGCCCCCTGCTGGTGAGTGCTGCCTCCCTCCCTGAGCGGTGCCTCTGAGCAGCAGCCGTGTGCACCTGCTGAGCCAGGACGTCCTCCCCGGGTTAGCAGAGTACCACTCGTTATGCACCTGTATGGGCTGGGCATGGCACCAGGCTGGGCAGGCCCTTTCAGAAGTGTGTTCTAGTGAGGTTAGCGTTTCTAGCCCCAGTTCACAGAGATGGAAACCAAGGTGCTTTGCTGGGGTCTCGCCCCTGGTCTGTGGCAGAGCCAGGACATAAACCAGGGCATAGGTGGTTCTTGTTCAGAGTAGAGCCTGCCCGGCTCCAGCTCCCATTATGGGAAAGGGGATTCGGCCTCCCTGGGGGCCCCTGATCCCGGCTCCTCCCCTACTTTGGCGTGGCCTCGGCAAGGCGTTCCCTGCCTTGGTGAGATCCATGGTGACCTCAGCGACAAGGCCAAGGTGCCTTTGTTCCCCCCAGCCCTATACCCTCCAGTGCTCTCCCTTCCTCTGCTCCCACCCTCCCCCCCAATCTCCCACCAGCTTCCCCCGCCATCCCTCCAGAGCTCCCAGCCCTTTGGGGTTGGCACCCGGGAGCCGGGCCCAGCCTTGCGCTCCGCCCTGGCTGGTTGGCGATGGGGGCGGGGCCCAGCGGTCTGGTGTGTTCCAGTCGGTCCCAGGTTCCTCACGGGCACCAGCACAACGGAGACGCTGACATTCAAGGCTGGGGACACCATCCGTGTGCCTGTCACCTTTGAGGTAAGCATCCCCCTCAGGCCCGCGGTTCTCTTTCTTTCTTGTTCTTTTCTGGGCCCTGGTCAGTGACCTGAAGGCACAGCCTTTGGCTGGCCCCTTGGTGGCCACGCTGTGCCAGGTCTGCTGCGCCCTCTAGTGGCAATTTCTGGTACTGCATCTGCAGACGGGACTTCTCTTTCTCCACCTGCGAGTCAGAATCGCTGGAGGCAGCTGCAGGGTGGATAAACCCGCGACCTGCGTTTGACCCAGGGTGACCCAGGGTGACGCAGCCAGCACCAGCAACACCTGCGCCGTGTGCCGTCTGGCAGTAGTATGGTTAGAAGCACAAACTGCCCGGGCTCCGGCTGGGACGCCATCACTCACTGGCTGCGCCTTAATCTGTCTCTCAGCTGGGGACAATGGTGACCTGTCCCAAAGGCTTGTTCTGAGGACTCATGGGAAGTCCATACACAGTGCCTGGCATTCGGCAAGCACCCATGTTAGTAATAACAAACATCAGGGTTGGCCTCTGGCGGGAAATCCCGTCCGTGGCAGAGCCAGATACAGACCCAGCCCCATCTGACTCTGAATCACATGTTCTCATGGTGGGCGTTTGGCTAAGAGTCTAAGACGCTGGCCACGATGCCCATGTCCCACATCAGAGTGCCTGGGGCAATCCCATCTCTGCTCCCGGTTCCCGCTCCAGCTAGTGTGTGCGGAGGCAGAAGTGATGGCTCAGGGAGTTGGGTCCATCCACATGGGAGACGGGTTGAGTGCCATGCTCTCAGCCTCAGCCTGGCCCAGCCCTGGCCCAGCCCTGGCCTTACAGGCATTTGGGGAGTGAACCAGCAGATAGGAGCGTACATGCTCTATTACATAAATATTTTCTTTTTTTTTTAAAGATTTATTTATTTGCGAGGCAGGGTTACAGACAGAGATTGGTCTTCCATCTACTGGTTCACTCTCCAGAGCTGAGCCAGGCCAAAGCCAGGACCCCGCAGCTTCTTCTGGGTCCCCCACATGGGTGGCAGGAGCCCAAATACTTGGGCCATCCTCCACTGCTTTCCCAAGCCCTTAGCAGGGAGCTGGACCGGAAGTGGAGCAGCTGAGACTTGAACCGGTGCCCATAGGGGATGCTGCCACTGCAGACAGTGGTTTAACCTGCTGTGCCACAGCACTGGCCCATAAACAAATATTTTTAAAATAATTACATGTTCTTAGCTATTGACCATGGTGACAGCGATAATGATGAAAGCATTCAGCACACGGCACAGCGCTCTCCACGCGTCAGCCCCTCGAGCCCTCAGAGCCCTCCACGAGGGGCGTGAGGTCGGCGGCCCCGTCTCTCTCTGCTGCCCAGCGTGCCCACTCTGAGGGTCCCTCGGGCAGTGGCAGCACGGGGTATTGAGCAGCTGGCTTGGCCACCCCACCCCGGTCAGGGTCGCCACAGTTCCAGGCCAGGCCACCGTGATGTCCTCCAGGACTACTGCCTGGCTCCCAAGTGATGCCCTACTTGGTCCTGGGCACGGGTGGGCGACAGTCCCCTCCCCAGGAGTCCTTCACTCTCCCACCCGGCCCCCTGCCCTGTGAACCCAAAGCCAGTTATGCTTCCCGGCTGGGTCTCGGCCCCGCAGCTCAGGGCTCACAGGAGGAAGCGTGGCGCTGTTCGTGAGGTCCACTGCTCCATCTGCCCGTGCACACCCAGCCACCAGCCCCGCCCTCCCTGCCGGCTCTCACCGCCTGCTCCTGAGCCGGCACCGCCCCGCCTCTGCCTTTGGGCCCAGCCCTCTCTCCTTCGAGAAAGTCCTCCCTGCTTCTGCCCTGGTCGTGACCCTCCCCGCTGAAACGTTTGCTCCGCCTGTTTCCCAGGCTGCCCCAGAGCCCGAGGTGGTCTGGCTGAAGGACGGCTCCCCCTTGCCCAGAAGAAGTGTGACAACCACCAAGGACGGCCTCACGCGGCTTCTCATCCCCACGGCCACCCTCTCGGACAGCGGCTGCTACACCGTGGTGCTGAGGACCCAGGACGGGAAGGAGGCCACCTACAGCTTCCTCATCAAGGTGGCAGGTGCGGCAGGCGTCCCGCCAGGCCTGTGTGCGCCAGGCGTGCCCCCACCCTACCCCCTGCCCCGCTTGAGTGCTTGAAGACAGAAAGGAGGAGGGGCCCGCGAGCGACCTGAGTCGGGGACGCGGGGACAGGTCCTCCCAGCTGCACCCCAGCTTTGGGTTGCATTTTATTTTGAGTCAAGGCAGGGACCACGGAGGCCCCAGGGAGGGGTCGAGGGGGATGGCCCCTTGTGCAAGCTCCAGGCTGTGCCCCCCCAAGCCCCCCCCCTCCTGGCTCCGGCCCCCCCCCCCCCCCGCCTGGGAGGGGTCTCTGCATCCCAGCTATGGGAAATTGAAGAGAATTCGGGTTGTTGCCCAGTCTCCAGGGGTGACTGTGGAGCTGGGCCCACCCTCTGGCCCCGGCCCCCTGCCTGGCAAGGCTTACTGCCCAGGAGCCCTGGAGCCTGGGGCGAGGACCTCCTTCCTGCCCAGCCCCCTCCAACCTGGGCTCCCCCGGCCCCTGTCCCGCAGCTCGCCCGCAGGCCCCCGGCGCCATCCGCCTGCAGGAGAACGTGCCAGGGACGGTGACGGCCGAGTGGGAGCCCTCTCCGGACGAGGCCCAGGGGCTCCCCCTGACCTACACGGTGCTCATGCGTTCCTCGGACCACGGCCCGTGGCAGGAGGTGGCCGATCGCATCCACAACAACCACTTCACCCTCCTGGGCGTGCTCCCCGGCCACGAGTACTACTTCCGCGTGCTGGCCAAGAACGAGCTGGGGGCCAGCGAGCCCTCCCAGAGCCAGCCCTGGTGCACCCCCCGGAAGCGAGGTGAGAGGCTGGGTGGCCGCATTTTCTTCCTTCCCCTTTGGACTCTCAGTGCTGTTTGTCCCCAGGAATATGCATTCACTTGCAGTGAAAGAAAAAAAATGAACATTAACAGAAGGATTGAAAATAAAAAGGCCTGGAGGCCCCCATTTGCAGGAAGCATACGGCAGCAGGCCCAGCGGCACCGCGGACTTTCTGCCCAGAGCCCCTTCCTCTGCTGACTGCTTCCTGGTTTCCCTGCAGACAAGTTCACGGTGAAGGCCCCAAGCTACCGGGAGCCCGACCTGCGCCAGAAGCCGCGCTTCCTCGTGGGTCTGCGCGTGCACCTACTGCCGCAGGGCTGTGAGTGTCGCATGACCTGCGCTGTGCAGGGCTCGCCCCGGCCCCGCGTCACCTGGTACAAGAACGGCCAGAGCCTGGAGAGGAACCCTGGGATGTACAGCACCGACGTGCAGGGCGTCTGCTCCCTCATCATCACCAGCGTGACCCCGGAGGACAGCGGCCAGTACAAGGCTGTGGCCGAGAACCCGCTGGGCCAGGCGGTCAGCATGGCCACCCTCATCGTCACAGGTAAGGGCAGGAAGGAGCGCCACCTGCAGGGTGCCCCCAGGGCCTGTCCCCCTCTGCGGGCTGGGAGACCAGGCTTGGCCGACTCAGCACGGACTCCCTGCTGTTCAACCTGGCCCTCGGGGCCCAGATGGGATGGGCAGCACGTGGTGGAAGGGGCTGCGCGCTGGCCACCTACGCTGCCCAGGTCATCTTGCAGCACGGTCAGGATGGGGGATGAGCTGTGCCCTCCTGTGCTGCTCCCTCACAGACCTGCAGACCTGGACACTCATCCCAGAGACACCGAGCAGAGTCTCTCCCTGCTGGTCTCCTTTGCACCAAATAATTGACAATAATACACGGGGCGGGGGGGGGGGGGCAGCGCTGTGGTGTCGGGGTAAAGCCGCTGCCTGAGGTGCTGGCATCCCATGTGGGCGCTGGTTCTAGTCCCGGCTGCTCCACTTCCGATCCAGCTCTCTGCTGTGGCCTGGGAAAGCAGTAGAAGGTGGCCCAAGTCCTTGGGCCCCTGCACCCGTGTGAGAGACCCAGCTGCTTACTTCGAGTCAGCCCAGCTCTGGCCATTGCAGCCATTTGGGGAGTGAACCATCGGATGGAAGACCTCTCTCTCTCTCTCTCTCTCTCTCTGCGCCTCTGCTTCTCTCTTTCAAACAAATAAATAAATCTTTAAACAAACAAACAAAAAAAACAATAATGAGGGAACTTCAAAGAGTTCATAGCACATGAAACTTTATTTTGATGTAAATAAATTTGAAACCAATGCTTAATTTTTTCATAATCTGCATCTTCGTGATATTTTTAGATGTATTCATGTAGTTATTTATTTGAAAGAGAGAGCGATCGGTCTTCCATCTGTTGGTTCATTCTCCAAGAGGCTGCAACAGCCAGGTCAAAGCCAGGAACTCCACCCAGGTCTCCCAAGCAGACCACCACCCACTGCTTTCCCAGAAGCATTAGCAGGGAGCTGACTCAGAACCATGGGATGCCCGGGCTGCAGACAGTGGCTCAACCCACGGCACCACAACACCAGCCCCTGGGAACTTTTTTTAAGACCCCTTTACATGCATGAATGTCAAAGAATATTTTACAAAAAAAAAAAAACACATCTTTTCATTCTATTTGCCACAAACTTTTTGAAAACCCTCCTACTTACATTAGTAACAATTACTACATGTTAATAAGAAATAGTTTTTCATTTTCTCCTGTAGTCGTCCCCGTATCTTACATCCAGAATCGGTCAGTAACAGAACCCCTCCACGTTTGCAGCTACGCAGACTCGAGCTTTTGTGTGAACATGGCCTTCGGCGCTGGCCAAGGCACCTCTGCGCTCCCTGGCCTCCACGCCAAGCACTGGGGAGCCCTCTCCAGGTCCCCCCATGTGCACCCCAGTCCTCAGAAGAGGCTGGGTGGGGGCTGGGTGTTGGCCTTTGTCTGAGCCATGAGGTGGTCCTGCCTCTGAGCCCGCATCTTCCCCACTGCGCAGGTGAGGGAGGGGCGGCTACCTGCCTGACCCCTGGACTTCCTGTCTCTTACAGAACCCAGCTTCTAGCCCTCCTCACCCGAGATGGTCCCGCCCAAACCCACAGCCGTGATGGAAGACAGAGCCCCGGAAGCTCCACCCCCGATGCCCACTTCGGCCAGTCTGGAAGGGCAGAGAGTCCAGAGCCCCAGGGAGGTCCCGCAGGGGACATGGAGTCCCTGGGGAAGGGAAAGAATGAAGTCACCACTCAGGAGGACAGCGAGGACCCTCAGGACCCCGCCGCGTGGCTTCCTCCTGCCCTGCAGAGGTCCAGGGCGGAAGCCGGCACCTGCTTGCCTGGGCCGGGCACCTGCTGTGTGCAGGGAGGGAAAAGAATGGGGGGAGGCGACGGACCTGGGTGAGGACGCGGGCTTCCAGGGCACTGTGGGGGGTGCCCCATGTCCCCCATTAAATGGGTGAGAGAAGCCAGGCCCATCTCCTGTGTGTTCATCTGGGGAGGTGGGGGAAGGGCGAGGTGTGGCTGGAGGGCAGAAGGGGGTGGGGGTGGGGGGTCTCGTCACTGCAGAGCTGACAGCAAGGGCTGAAGAGCCCAGAGACGCTGCAGGGCCACCCCGGCTCCTCGCCCCTGTCTGTGGGCAGGGCCTCCCTGGGTGTGACGTGTGGGGACCCCAGGCCTGGGAGCGCCCAGGATTGCCATCGGCCTGTCCCTGCCTGGGTGGAGACAGCCCCAGCCCAGGGCGGGCTCTGCAGGCCCCTGATACCACCAAGTGCTCGGGGACCTGGGGGCCGCCCTGCTCTGCCACAGACCCCTGCCCGGGGGCACAGGTGGGATGGGGCCTCCCTTTCCCAGAAGTCCCTCTGTGTGACCTGCCACCCCCCCCCCCGGTTTCGCACCCTCCTTGGCCTCCAGCTGTGGCCCCTGCACCTGTTATGCTCCTGGGGCCCCCGGGGAAGGCTGAGCCCCACCAGCTCTGAGACCCCGTGGGTTCCTGCTCCTGCTTCCTACCCAGGAAGGAAAGAACACAGCTCACAGAAGCGGGGGAGGTCAGATCCAGACACTTCTCCCAGAAGCAGGACTGTGTGACCGAGGGAGCCTGGACCTGGAGAGAATCGCCCACCCCAAACAGACCAGTGTCCCCCAGAGGCAGGGGGATGGACCAGATGACCTCTGTCTCCCCGGCCCGTGGCTCATTCTCCCCAGAACCAGTTTCCTTGGGATGGCTCTTGCCACTGCCACCTCACCAATGGCTGCAGCCACAATTGGGGACACAGGGAAGGCACCATCCCGGGGCGTGCCTCAGCCCCTCCGGTGCCATCTATGCCGTCAGGGCCCGGGGCAGGGGACAGGGCTGCAGGTCGAGGGTCTGCAGCCTCAGAAGTGGGGAGAAGAGGGGGTGAGCCCGAGCCCGGGGCATGCCGGGTCCTAGCAGAGGCTCGCACAGCAAGGAGAGGTGAGGGGCATCTGCCCTTCCCAGGGAGGACAAGGACAAAGGGTTAACCCATGTGATGGCTCACCATGCAGGGAGACACGTGGCTCCAACTCCCTTCCACCCCAGAGCCAGCCCCGCTCCAGGGCAGCGCGGGAGCCTGAGCAGTCCCAGGGGAGGAGGGACACTGCAGGCTGAGCTCCACGGAGAGGCGGGACCCGGGCAGGTGGGTGTGGGTGAGGTGGGAGGGCCTCCTGCCTACTGCAGTAGCAGGGTGGGGGGTGAACCCAGCCTTTCTAAGAGCCCACGCCTGAGGTGTGACATCTGCTCCTGCTGGCCCGATCACCCCCACCCCACGCCGTTGCTAAGTTCCTTTGGGGATAGCTGACAGTTATGTAATAGCATATTAAGGGGCCAGCGTGCTGTGGCGTAGTAGGTTGAGCATCCCATATGGGCACCAGTTTGAGTCCCGGCTGGGCCACTTCCAATCCAGCTCCCTGCTAATGGCCTAGGAAAGCAGTAGAAGATGGCCCAAGTGCTTGGGCTCCTGTACCCACATGGGAGACTCAGAAGAAGCTCCTGGCTCCTGGCTTCAGATGGGCCCAGCTCCAGCCATTGTGGTCATTTGGGGGGGGGGGGGGGGGGGAGGTGAACCAGTGGATGGAAGATCTCTCTCCCTCTCTCTCTCTCTCTGTAACTCTGTCTTTGAAATAAATAAATCTTAAAAACACCAGTAAGTTAGGCTACCAACGCACAGCAGCTGGCGTCCTCGCACACTCCTGTCTCACGTTCAGTCTGGCGCTGCACGTCCCATTCCCTCCCCAGAGGAGGGGACCACGTTCTTCGTCACAACAGAGAGTGCGGCTGTGGAAGCCTGCGACCTCTCCGAGAACAAGCAGAGAGGAAGAGGAGGAAGAGGAGGCCGACTGTCAGGAACAAATCTGTCCCAAAGCACAGCTGAGTCGTATTCCCGGCTAGAAGAAAATTCTGCAAATGTTCTCAAAGCCAGTTATGTTCTGCTTATAAAGACGCGCTTAAACGCAAGCACCTGGACAGACCTGCAGCTTGGGAAACACATTTCAAGGACCTGCTGGCCCCAAACAAACAAAACAACAACCACAACCACCCTGGTATAACTGCCTTGGTAACAGCTTACAAATCTGTAACTCAAACATCATCACTAGAGACAACCGGAATTGTAGACGAGAGGTTGCGACGTTTATTTTGCCAGAAAAAAATAACAGAATTCTGAGCTGGCGAGCAGCTGGCAGGGGAGCACCTCCCCCGTCGTTAGCATACAGACCCCAAATGTCGAAGGCGTGTCGGGAGAATTGCCAGAGAAATCACACGTTAGCTGCCCGACGTCTTCTCTCGGCGTCAGCGGATCAAGCACACAGAGAAGTCGCAGGGGTCTCGCAGGTGGGGGCAGCGTAAGGAAGGGGCCCCACACCCGCCAGGGGCCGCTCCTCCCTGAAGCTCTGAGCCGGCACCTGCCACGTCTCTCACGGAAGCCCGCGTCTCCGGGGCCGGCGCCGTGGCGCAGCGGGTCAAGGCTGCCGCCTGTGACACTGGCATCGTCTCTGAGCCCCGGATGGAGTCCCGCTCCCTGCTAATGCTCGTGGGAGAGCAGCAAGAGATGGTCCAAGAGCCATGTGAGGAGTGAACCAGAGACCTTCCTCTCTCTCTCTCTCTCTCTCTCTCTCTCTCTCTCTCTGTAGCTCTGCCTTTCAAATAACTCTTTTAAAAAAATAAAAAGTCTGCAGAGAGCAGGGCACTTGCTGTGTCCCCAGAACAGCTGTGCTGAAGCCAAATCCCCCGTGATGGTGTCGGGAGGTGGGGCCTTCGGGGGCGGGGGAATGGGGCCAGGGACACCAGAGAGCCGGCTGCCTGTCACCACGCACATCCGGGAAGGCTGGAGCAGCCCCCAAGGAAGAAGGCAGCCGGGAAGCGAACCAGCCAGCACCGTGGTCCTGCCGACCAGCCCTGGAACCGTGAGATGTTGACGGCTGCCAATTAAGAGGCCCAGTCCGTGTCCTGTCGCAGTACCGCCGCTGACTCTTACAGGCAACGGGGGAAATGCCCCCACCTCGGGACCAAGACAGGTGTCCCAGAGCTGCAGTATCAGGTCAGCCTTAGAAAACCCATCCACCTGGCTCTCCACGTGCATAACTCGCTGACCTGTGTAGAGAAAGCGTTCAGTGAAATCCAACACGCAGGGCCGCCTGGCTTCGAGCGCTCGCCACCTGCGACGGGCAAAGCGCACCGGTTACCGCCTCATCTACGAGACGAAGCTGGCACGGAAGCTGCCTCCCAGCCCGCTGTGAGGACAAACACGGTTTAGGCCTGTGAAGCCTTCAGAACAGTCCTTGAACCTGGTAACTAGTACTTGCTCTTGGTATACTGTGGTGTATTTCCATTACATTACTTGTCTATTCTTTATAACAGTCGAGGAAAGTGGCCACCACCTGGGAGAGGCCAACAACCCGCAGCCAACGTGATGGACGTGGACTTGCTGGAAGCCGTCTGTCCCTCCCAGAACGCCGAGCGCCACCGCTCCTCCTCGCCTCTGTCCCAGGGCTCCCGCTAGCACACGAAACATGAACAAAGGTGTAAGAATTAGGCAGGAAGCTGGCATGATAGCAGACGACACGGTTGCCCACACAGACAATGCAAACACACACACGGGGGTAACAGAGTTGCCAATACGGTAATCCACACACAAGGCTCAACTGCGGGGAGCCGGGGTTTAGCCAAGTGGTTCAGACGCTGAGTCCCATCCCACGCCGGGGCACCTGAGCTCTGCTCCCCTCCCTGGCTTCCGACATCAGCTCTCAGCAAGGCAGGCGCCGGGAGCCACCGCTGAGGGCTCGAGTACCTGGTCCCTGCCACCCACGTGCGACACGGGGATTGCACTTGTGGCCCCTGACTTGCCCTGGCATTTGGGAAATGAACCAGTGGATAGGTCTCTCCCTCTCTCTCCCTCTCTCTCTCTCTCCATCTTTATCTGCCTTCCAAATAATTTTTTTAAAAAATCATTCATATTCAAAAATACAGCTCTAAAAAGATATTATTTTGGATACTAAAAATTTTATGAAATGCCTAATAATAGATATAATAAAAGAGATACAAAAACCATGTGTAGAAATTATAGAACTTGGGGCTAGTGCTGTGATATAGCAGGTAAAGCCACTGCCTGCAGTGCCAGCATCCTATATGGACTCCAGTTGGAGTCCTGGCTGCTCCACTTCCGATCCAGGTCTCTGCTATGGCCTGGGAAAGCAGTAGAAGATGGCCCAGGTGCTTGGGCCCCTGCATCCACGTGGGAGACCCAGAGGAAGCTGCTGGCTTCTGGCTTCGGATTGGCCCAGCTTTGGCCATTGCAGCCAGTTGCGGGAGTGAACCAACGGAGGGAAGACCTCTCCTCTTCTCTCTCTCTCTATCCCTGCCTTTCAAATAAATAAAAATTTTTTTAAAAAATGCATTCTTGCTTATTAAAAGTTCACAGACAAGCAGTAAAAGTAGAACTCTTGGAAGACGTTTTAGTAAAATGTCTTACTTTGAGATAGGGAATGATTTCTTTTTAAAGATTTATTTATTTGAAAGAGCTACAGAGAGAGCTGGACCCTAAATCTCCCGCATCAGGTGGAGGCCAGGATGGCCCGGCTCTCCACCACCCCGGGAGAGCAGCCGCGGGCGCTGTGGCTTCAGCTGGAGCAGAATCATGGCCCAGGAGCCTCCCCGCCCCCCGCCGCTCCCCGTCCCGGGCGGGGGCCACAGCAGCTAGGAGGGGCCCCAGAAGCGGGTGCCAACTTCCTGCCATTCCACATGTGACCACCAGGTGGAGCCACAGGCCAGGTTGGAGAAGCCAGAGCTATCCTGGCCCTGCCCTAGGAGAAGCTGGGGACAGGCTCCGCGGAGCAGCCCCAGTGCTAAGGTGGGAACCGCAGACACCATCAGGTTCTCTTTCCCCCTCTGCTCTCCCCTGGGTCTCCAGGGAGAACTGATGCTGGTCCCAGGAGCCCTGTACCTGGTCCTGGGCGA